ATCAACAGACACAGACAATGAAGTAATTACATCTATTTGCTTGCCATTGGTTATTGCTCTAGGACAGCACACATTCTCGTTTAGAAGGACTGCTTATGCTGCTTTGCATTTGTGTCAGTAGTCTCTCAGGCTCCAAATTAATCACTATATATCAATACAAGTTTATGCTAATGAGAAGAAATGAGTTAAACAATACTTCATATGAATATTAAAACTGTATTAGTAATAAGCATACACATTTCTAAATTATACTTATCCAAAAAACCAAGAACGTTCTTTTGAACAACTGGGATAATCAATATGACCCTCAATGCACCTTACACGGAAAGGAGGGGATGGATCTGTTGGTTTATATCCATATTTACATGTAAATTCCACAAAGTCCCCTGATTGGGAATAGAGCTTTTTGTTTCTTATCCATCTGTAAGTTATGTTATTTCTTTTAATAATTTCTTCTGATATGACACATGCATCTGAAAGAAAAATTCACCAAAAATTTATTAAGATATAAATCTACAGATACTCAACTTTCAAGCATTATTCCTCAATGTTTTTAAAAACATGTATTAAACCAGCACATAGAATTAGTTCATACTGGATAGCAAATGGTGTCAAACAATGTTTTTAATGTGATAATTAGATTTCAACAACAAGGATTCCTAATGTCATGAAATAAGACATATTTCAGGGCATTTATGGTTGTTTGCATTGATTTAGGTACTGGACAAAGGTAAAAATTGAAACTTGATATGCATATGATATTCAGACCTAATGAGTATACCAAAAAGTGAGTATACTGTGAGATAATTATACTGAAAAATACTGCCCTTAGAAAGCCAAATCTTAACTACCTTCATAATGTTCATTGTTAACTCACAGTGTTGTCACTATGAAAAGTGGTTTTTGTGTCATGAATTTGATTTTTATACTTTTAAAAAATAAATCTATTAAATCACCCCATTGGATAAGTGACTAACCTGTCTGGAAAGCAGCTTCTGCAACCAGCACCCTGAACCCTGGCCTTCCTTACACAGAAAACCAAGAGGACACAATATCCAAGTTCATGCTGTCTCCAACCAATTCACTTAGTGCTGCCATCCTGTTTCACAACACATCTGACTATACAGTACTTCAAAGGCTGGGACTAAGTGCTACAGAGAGGGTGCAAAATTCCCTTAACCAAATCTCTTTGCTGAGCTTTCCAGGAACAGTAACCCTTGTGATTAGGAGATCTGCCAACCACAGTTTCTGAGAAAAACAGCATCATCTTCTATGAACCACCACAGCCACTTTAGGAGTCTAGTGTGTTGTCTACCATCCACCTGAACTGATAAGTGTCCTAGTTTAAGCATAATTCACAGAAACCTTGATTCAGGTTGTGCCCAGAGGTGTTAATTACAGACAACCCACAAATGCTACATGGAAATAACTCCTCCATTGTAGCTCAAGATACATCTCCAGTAGACAACCTCCTACCAAGAAAGTCCCCAGATATATAGTGTATAAAAATTCACCTAGCATATGTACATAAAAATCAAGAAGTGTGAAAAATGGAAGGCAACAAGATTCTTCAAAAGTGCACCTCTCCTCCAGTAAGAGACTCCAAAAGAACTGACATGAATAGAAGATCAGTTGAAGTGTTTTAAAAACAATCATTTTGGAAATGCATCTATTTCCAAGGAAACATGGAAAAATAATTAAATAAGTAAAGAAAAACAATTGGGGAATATGAGTGCAAAATTTTTACAGAGAAGGTACAGTTTGGAACAAATGCAGATCTAAGAATTTGAAATTAACTGCTTTCAATTAAAAAAAAATGG